AACAAGCAGTTGATCCTTACAGTGCCTGTGTATCCCCACTGCAAGGGACAATTTTCAAGTTTCCCAGAGTTGGGTTTTTAATAAAATGAAGTTGTCCTCCAATGGTATTTATTTTTTTAATTGCTAGCTACAGAATGACCTGAAAGGATTGCTTAAAATGCCTCCTTCCAGATGAATGTTACTCTTTCCATTCAAGGCTTTCCATTCCAAGAAGAAGGTAGATACAATGGAGCAGATGTTTGAAAGTGTTAGGTCCCACAGCCCACAATGTCATTACAGATGGCCTCCTCCTATACATGGACAAGTGTAAAGGGGTTGATTTACTAAAACTGGAGAATGCAAACTCTGTTGCAGCTGTGTATAGAAACCCATTAGCTTCAAGTTTTTTTGTCAAAGCTTAATTAAACAAGCTGAAGTTAGAAGCTGATTGGCTACCATGCACAGCTTCACCAGATTTTGCACTCTCTAGTTTTAGTAAATCTCTCTCAAAGTGTCAAAAACATCTCTTCGCCTGTCAGAGTCTTTGCAGACAAGCTTGTCACTGAGGAGGTATTCTTCTTGGCCAGTTTAAAATGTTGGAAGGCACTTCATGAATATACTTGGTTATAGTGAGAAGAAACCTAACTCTTTACAAGCCATGTGTTATCCTTTGTCTGCAGCGACATGTGCATAATGCAAAATATTGCATTACCTCTACATATAACAGGGGAAAGTACAGTACAGTTACAATACAATTCAAGGAGCTTACAATCTAAAGCAAACGGTGAGTAATGCAAAAGTTGGTAACTGTGTGAGAATGAGCTGTTCAATTGCTAGGTAGAAGCGGGATAGGCTTGCTTTTAGGGATTGCCTGAAGGCAGACAGAGTAGGAGAGAACAACCCATGCAGGTAAGGGTTGGGAATTCCAGAGGATGGGAGAGGCTCTGTCTGTCTATATAAATATTTGCTCTAAGAAAAATACAATGACTATATTTTATTTAATGGTTAGTGCATTGCCAGGGACTAATGGGAATAAAGACTTTGTTTGAGGGCTCATGGTTCTCGCTAGTACCTGGTTACATGGTTTACACTTGATCAAAGGGTCTCTGCTAAAGGTCCTTGGAGAAATGACATCAGGAATGGGTCAAACAACATCACTGCCTAACTATCCATCCTCAAAACTTTGTACTTTTCGTATTTTCTGTCCTGGGCATTACGAATTAAAAAAAATGAGAAAGGGTTTCAACCTCTTGATAAAAAGAATTGGAAAGACTTTAATCATGCACCCTTGTTACCAAGGGTTTTTGCAGTCTTTATTTATAAGTTTTTCAACACATATACAAAGCAATGATCATAAACGAAATCACAAGACAAAGTTTGGTCATAAGAACAAGTCAATACATAACAGGTAATATGAAACATAGTGTAAATTGCTAGAATAAGCAGAGAGGCCTCAAAAGGTACAAGTTAGAACATCATTTAAGAAAGTATGTGAGGCCGGACAGAAATCGAGGTACCTTACTTAACATAAGTCATAATAGCAGAAAATAAATTTGGGGTGGGGAGGGAGGGCTAGGGGTCTGTGTCAATAAGACCCCACATACTCATTGCAGGTTGCGTCTTTTGGGTTTAGAGAGACCCTGCCACCTCCAAGCAGTAGTTAGGGTAGATAAGTACTTACAAAAGATCATGAAAGAAGGAAAGCGGAAGAGAAGAAAAAAAAAGGGGGGGGGGGGGTAGTGGGGAATAGAAACTAAAGTAGGGGTAGGGGTAGGGTACAATTGATGGGGGCCCACACTGGCTAAGCCACCGCATGAATATTGCAGAGGACCCTGACTACCCACCCCAGAGCTGCCATAACACCAGCTCAGTTTGACTGGCAGTTATTGTTTGAATTCAATGGTGCAGGTAAACTCAATCCAGGAGATCCACTTAATGTGGACTCTAGTGTGCATTTATTTTATTGAGCTTGTAAGACTTTTCATTACCCTGATATCCTCAACCCTTCTGATCCGTTGTTGAGCTGGGAGGGAGAGGGAGGGGGGATTTCCACAAAGCTGGCATTCATGACCACTTGGTGATACAACGCTGATTTTTTTCAGCACATTTTTGGGATATATCATGAACCAAAAAAGTAGTGAGAGTCAGGCAGGACCAGAATAAATTCCGTAAATTGCCTCTACCCTGTCTACATAGCCAGCAGGTCTCAGATTCTGTAGGACAGATAGAATGTAGAAGGGATGGAGTGTGGTACCAGCGAGTTGCGATCTTGTACAGAGTGTTCCCCAGGTTTTGTTCCCAGAAATCTAAGTATAAAGATACAGTAGATGCCCCGGGAAGAAGCCCTGTGTAATTCATCGAAAGGGCATAAGCAGTAAAGCCCGCAATTTCGCTCTCCTGTTTGAAAGATGTTCATTTGCATGAGAATTTGACAGGTGCAGGTAGAGATGGTAGAAAGTGGGAAAGCTGTAAAATCTGTGTATATAGCTAGAGAAGTCAAGTCCTCTTGACTTTCTTGCATTGGCCTGTCTTTAAAGAAATCCAAAGACTGCCACTACTGATCTCCTAATACTAATGAACTGGCCCTCTCTGGCAACTTTTTGTGTCATCCACCTGTGAAATCAGGACTCCCAATCTGCCTACATGTTTGGGATCTGTGGCTCAGTGTTAAAGCCACAAGCTCCAGCAACAAGCATGTGCAGAAGGAGATCAGCAATAGTGGCTGCATGTGCATCTAATGACAGGTTTCCTTTATTACTTTTTCACATTACAAATCTGTCACCAAGTTTGATTTTCTCCCTGGAGTTCTACTTTTAGATCCAGAGACTTTATTAGCACTTAGAGAAATGTAAAAAGATGTGGATTTCACAAAGGGCATAACAGTAATTGGTGTAATTGCTGCGGTTTGAATGAAACTTACCATTTTATAGCTCTTAAAACGTATTAGTGCTTGGTACTAAGTACTGCTTAGAAGCTAAAGATGCTTGACTCAGCTCGTTTAATGCTAAATAACATCCAACAAGATGCAAGTTGTTTCATTTATTTGAGGAAAAAATGTGGGAAACCACAGCAAGCTCCCTTCTCCAAATTTTTTAAGACCTTTGTTTGGAACCAATTAAAGGAAAATGGGATTCATGAGCATTGCATGTGCATTATGTGAGGCCACAACCAACGGAAAGCCACACGCAGTTCTGTCCTCCGAAGAGGTCATAATGAGGTTAGGTTAGCACAACACAGAACCTGTTCAACCGCCTGGACACCCAACAAGTAGGATGACTTATGACAGTAGAGAACACAATGGTACTGTTAGAAAACAGAAGACATACTTACATTATTTTCACTCTGCCTTCAGAATTGTTTTCCGTTTTTATTCCTGTTGAATTAGTCTTTGGAAGAACACGTTGGAGCCTCCACCCTAAAGTAATCTTTCCATGAAAAACAGTAGACAGTAGAGGAATGTCAGTGTTTTCTCTCTCTCCCGTGAAGATCTCCTGCGTGGCTCAACGTCTTCTTGATTAAATGTAACATTCCTGATACCAGATTCAATGTGCAATCACTGGTTCTTGTAATGATAGAAATAAAGGAAAGAGCTACAAGTAGAGTGCCACATAAATGCTTACAGATGTCCAAGTCATTCCAAGTCATTAAATGCTATTTTAATGAGAACATCTTCAGTCAGTATGGCTTCGTATTTCTCCTGTACCAAGTTAATCTAAATCCTGATTTTTAGCTACTTTTGATGCCTCTGTGAAGATTGGGGAGTGGACATTTTTAGTTTGTCGTAAAAAAATGATTAAAGCAAAATTCTAGGCAAATACCTGAATACATATAGCTGTTATAATTACTAAAGGATTTGTAATTCTTGACAATCTTGTGAGTGTTTTGCACACTATACAGGTGACACATGAAGACCCTGATTAAGAAGAACTTACTTACTGTATCTGAGCAGCACAAACTGCACACGTTTTAATTCATTGTTATTATTCAAGGCAAACTCACCCACCCATCCCTCCATGTCTCCATGGTGTATTTTGTTGAGAAATTACTTTGAAAAGCAACCCCCCCTCCTCCAAACATTTATAACTGTGTCCATCTTGAGTAAGGGCAGATGATCCATGTAGCGTTTACTTCCTGGAATCCATCTGCCCTTGGTTCAGGCCTGCAGGAGCATCTGCATGTGCAAAAAAAATACCCATGAAGACTCCTGGGATGTATGACATCATTTTAGCCTAAGCCAGAAACCAGGAAGCAACTGAAGAAATGTAAAGAAAAAAAAATTAAAACAAGTACATATAATCTACCATTGTATCTATTTACTAAGACCTAGCAGCATTATGATTAAAAATAGCTAATATTGTAAGAAAGTGTTTAGTTCAGCTTTAACCGCTAGCCTACAGGGCACTTATACCCCCTTCCTGCCCAGGCCAATTTCAGCTTTCAGCGCTGTCACACTTTGAATGACAATTGCGCAGTCAAACAACACTGTACACATATGAAATTTTTAGCATTTTATCGTGACAGATAGAGCTTTATTTTGGTGGTATTTAATCACCTCTGGGTTTTTTTTTTATTTTTTCTTAAACTAAAAACCACTGAAAATTTAGAAAAAAAATTTTTTTTCTTGGTTTTTGTTATAAAAATTTTGTAAATAAGTGATTTTTCTCCTTCACTGATGTGCACTAATGAGGCTGCACTGATAGGCTGCACTGATGGACACTGATAGGTGGCACTGATGAGGAGGCACTGGCAGGTGGCACTGATGGGCATTGACAGGCATCACTGATGGGCACTGAAAGGCAGCACTGATACATGGCACTGATATATGACACTGATAGGCAGCATTGATAGGCGGCACTGACTGGCACTAATAGGCGGCACTGACTGGCACTGATAAGCGGCACTGACTGGCACTGTTAGGCGGCACTGACAGGCACTGTTGTGCAACACTGACCGGCACTGATAGGCGGCACTGATGCGCACTGATAGGCAGCACTGACTGGCACTGATAGGGGGCACTGACTGGCACTGATAGGTGGCACTGATTGGCAGCACTGATTGGCATTGATAGGTGGCACTGACTGGCACTGATGGGTGACACTGAAAGGCAGCTCAGATGGGCACTGATATGTGGCATTGATGTGCACTGGTAGGCACTGATATGTCACACTGATGTGGCACTGATGGGCACTGGCACGAGGCACTGATGAGCACTGACATAAGGCACTGATGGACACTGACAGGTGGCACTGCTGGGGCTACACTGATCATCAGGGCACATTGATCATCAGTGCTCTGATGATCAGTGTACATGTCCCCTCCACGGAAAGCCGATTACTGGCTCTCTCCTCTCCTCTCAAGCTGTCAGCTTGACAGCTCAAGAGGAGAGAAATGCCGATAACCGGCATTTCCCTGTTTACATGTGATCAGCTGTGATTGGACACAGCTGATCACATGACTGAGCCGACATCTTTGGCTCTTTCCGTGATCGGTGATCCGCTGTGTCCGAGGGACACAGCACACCGCCGATTGCCGCCCTGTGCGCTCCCTGAGCCACGCATGCGCAGTGAGAATGGGAGGACGTCATATGATGTCCTCCCAGAACAAGAGAACCACCTTGCGCCCATCATATTACTATATGGCGGGCGGGCGGGAGGTGGTTAAAGATGAATTTCAGGTATGGTAGTCTACTAGTTATGTTGGTCCAGCTTGCCATACCTGTGGGATACCTGTGGAAGCTGGAAATCATTGTAATCAGTGAACTCCACTAGCTTCTGGGTCCCGTTCTGAGCATCTGCCCCACTTCATTGTGAACACAGATCGCCATTCACAGAACACTTTGTATTTTCTCACTGAATGCAAAGCATTCTGTAATGTGACGAGGTGGGGTGGTGACGTCATGATCTCCACCTCATCAAATCAGAGGTCACTCTGCATTCATTTCCAAAGTGGGCTCTGGAAGCTAGAGGCAATCACTGTAGTACTTGATTTCTAGCTGCCATGGGGATCCCACAGGTATGGCGCATACATACTTACATTTCTCCAACTGAACTGTGACTGCTACTATGTACACATTGCCATACATGGAATTCAGCTTCAAATATATTTCATATTTTGCATCAACTGTGATAACACTTACTTACACGGGGAAAGAAAAAAACAAAATGCTGCGCTCCAAGAAATCAGCCCAGGTAAAGGGTTTGGAGCTGCACCTGAAGCCTTTCCAGTTTATGATCACCTAATTTATTTTACATCTTGCTATTAACATGGCATTATATACACAACATACTGTAACATAACATAAAAATTGCTTGTTACTTTTTAGTCGCTTAAAAATCCTTACATGCTCTCCCTTCTTTGTAATGTTTAGGAGAGTGCTGTGGAGTAATGTGCAACATAGATAACCCTGTCTGTACTGTATTCACAGCTCTTCATTATTAGCTATAAACTAGATTTGAGCACTGTCTATCCTATTAAAGGGTTAAAATGTTAGAAACTGCCTCCGGTATTGTATGTTAATGAGATATAACTCACTCTGTGGAAACAAGACACTGTAAAGTTGGCTATTCCCTAGTACAGGCGTCACTAAATGGTGGCCGGGGGTCTGGATGCGGACCGAGTCACTGTCCCATCAGGACCCATGCGGTCCCACCATTTAGGAGCGTTTTGTTCCCCCAGCCGTTTCGTGGTCATCCTCACAGAGCTGACGGGGGGAGGTAGGATAGTTCTGGAGGTTCTGCCCGAGGTTAACAAGCAGGTGATTGGTTGCTAGGATGAAGGGCAGTCCTAGCAATCAATCACTGTCTGTCCACACTGGCTTTCTGTTCTGAGGGTGGTTTATTGTGTGATCTTGATGGTTTGACAAAGAACCTGGACACAGCTTTAGCCTACTGAGATTTGGAATATCTCTATTTTTCTACACCTCAATCAAATAACTGCTTTAAATCTGTGGTTCTATGAGATCTCTGATGTCTTCACCATAATAGCAATAAGCACTTTAGTTCTCTGTGCTCATCTACCATGTTCTCAATATGAGGAATATCGAGGGTGATTTGGTGTTCCACAGTGGCTGTCAGCCATAAGATGGATATATGACCACCCTTGCTCTTCTTGATGGTCGATGCCATTGAGGCCTCGGAATATGCAGTCTCATGCTGGACACCATTATTATTTTATAATTGCTCTGATTAATGCCTGTTTAATTCTTTTAAATTTCTCTTGTATCCATGCTCCTTAAAGAAGATAAAAAAATTAAATGTTCGAAACGCAGCAGGATTTATTTTTGGAATAAATGATAATGTTTGAGAAATTAGATAATTCTTGGATTGCGACTTAATGACCAAGGACAAATGTGGGTCCTGAGGTTCCATAGGTTGAAAGCTACTGCTTTAACCAATTAATATTCCTGGCCCAGCAAGTCAGTTTCCTGTCTCACTTCTCTGCCTACAGCCTCCTCATTGGATGGTGAATAAGCATTTTTTCCACTGACCTGAGAGCAGGGAGCTGAAAAAGGAAGTATTATCACTAAATCAAGAAGTAGCAGAGTGATCTTACAGACCAGTAGGAATGGTTGGCCAAAATTACAGATACCTTGGCAAGTATAGCTGTAAACAGACATGTAGTTCTACTGTTTAGTTAGCTTTTGGTTCTAGTTTCAAATTCCGGATAGCCACCAAGGCAGGTCCTCTTAAACTTTTGGTTATCCTCAGTTTTTTCTGTGCATCAGGAATGTTCCATTCGTCCATTGCTTGCAGGGCCTGTTCCAGCTACTTTTCAAAGCTTTCCTCGCTGGCAGGTAATGGCTGGTCTCTGGAAAAAGTACAAAATGTCTGGTAACTGAACCTAGTGTAAGCTGGAATACTCTTCTGGCACTTTAATGAATTCTCCAAAAGCAGCAATACATTCTGGCCCTATCATAGCCAGAACGCTGCTATAGGAGTCCCTTCTCTGACAGACTGCCTGACTTCTCCTTTCTGGGTTGTTATCTGGCACTCTAAGCTGAACTAGTTGAGCCACAATGCCATTTGTCAGCTGTAGTTTAGCCCCTTGGAAGCAAGCAAGGATTCCTCTTCTCCACTCTCCACAGTATCTTGGTGTGGGTTTTTGCCTGGTCTTATTTGCAGTTCAACACAGACACTCACTATTCTAGAACTAAGGCCATCACTGCCTGAAAAATGTGTTCTTCTTCCCAGGCAACTCCAGGGACATCCAGAATTATGCTCAGACCTGGTTGGCGGTTTTCCTCCCTACACCACTGGGCAGCTGTGGCTGGGTTCAAGGTGGCTCCTAGACATGTGGTAGCCGTCATTCTTCACTCATGGAACAGGAAATCTCGGACTTAAACCCCCACATGTAGAGCTTACCCCCGAAGAAGAGCTGAAACAACAGCAATGATGCAACAAACAGTTAAACTGTAGCAAGGAATATATTGCAAATAGGTGAACAATAGTAAGAAATATACTGTAAAACAAGCAATGGGTGTAGAGAGCAACTTCTCCTAAAGCCTATATTGGGGCAATCCTAAATAAGGAGAATTACACTACTCTAACAGTTTAGCAGTCTATAATATATTATCTTCTGCTTCCCAGCTTGTTGGGTCCCAACTCTATTAATGTTGAAATCCTTAGGATAATGTCCCTTTGCAGGCAACACTGTCCTAACTTTGTCACAGTGTAATGTGGATTTGACCAGCAATGTCCAAACTTCTTTTGTTAGTAGGTGGTCTCCCTCTGTATACTGGAAACATAGCAGGTCTGTATCTGCAGTGTCCTTCCCCCTTGATAAAGCAGTAGGCTCCACCAGCACCCATTATGACGATCGCGGCGTCAGACCCCAGCCCTTCTCACCAAACCTGTGACCAAAGGACTAGCCAATCTAAAACCGTGCTGTCACGTGCATAACAATGCCACGCCCAGCTGCACCTTACACAAAGAATTTCCAGCTAATGGACCACAATCTGTGTACTTGCAGCCTGGGAGCGATTGTTACTGGGTCAGGTTTATTACGCAATTAACCCTTCACACTGCCACCACCTCCTTTTTGTACAGAGAAAGAGGAAACTCAGCAATATCAGCAATAACACTATGATGTTTGCATAAGTGTCAGAATACCACTGTTACCACAGGTAGAGGTATACCGAAGTTTAAAACACACACACACAGTAGCGGTCTTCAGAGGCAGGGGTTCTTAGTTTGCATTAAAGAGCTTTAGAAACAGTTCAACACTTTCAGAAAGTAAGATTTATTACTAAAAGCTCAAAAGGGTGCAATAAAAATATTTACAGAAAAAGATGTAGCCAATATATATATATAAATATACAAAGCACAGCAAAGAGATAACAGAAAGGAATTTAGATAGATAAAGTACTTGCCAAAAGCCTTGGGTTAAGCAGCTTTCAGGTTTCAGAGCAAAAGGGCCGTCTCCCAGAGTTGGTTCCAATGTTACAAGGGAGAATCTTCAACTTAGCTCGACTCAGCTTAGCTCAGCTCTGCCTAACTCCAAGCATAACAGCCTTTTTCTAGGATCTCAGCAGGGTGTCTCCCTGAAGCAGAGAACCAACCACCTCATTTGGGGAGGGAGTTGTAGGCGGGGAGCTCAGGCTCTGACCAAAGCCCTCACAAAGTATACTATGGTCAATAACTTTTCCTAGGTACATGTAACATTCCACCCACGGGTAGATTAATATGCAGAATAATCTGCTGAACATCTAGATATGAAATATGACATACCTGCTAGGACGGTTAAGGAGATGTCATTTTCTGCTCTCCTGGAGCTGTCAGCTAGGGGGTGTAATATATCGGGCAATTTGTATTAAAGTGAGCCATCCGAATATGTGCTCCATGTTTGTGTAATTATTTCCTATTTGGAGATATAAAATTATATGGAAAAACTGGGTTTTTAAATGTAAGTCTGTTTCACAGCTAGCTGGAATGTCTTTTGAACTCAGTGAAGGACTTGGTTTATGGTTTTAAGATCCTTTTACAAGCAGAGTCTCGCAGACATCTGGGGGTTTATAGCCATGAGCTCTCCCGCTGGGCCTTGATGCCTGTGACCTCTGCATCATATAGACCACATGTCACTCAACAGAGGGAGGGGGGATGAGGGAAGCTGATTTGGGAGTAGAAAATGATAGAAGATGGAGGCCTTTGCCAAAATGGAGGTTCGCATCTATCTCTGTGTGCACCTTTGCTACACCCATGTCCTTAAATAATTGTTGCTGTGCCTTCCTCCAGATCAGGTGCAGAGATGAACAGTCTGCCTGCAGCTATATGTGCACACAGCCCTCTTAGAAACAGCCTACACTCTTCTTCTCCTTAGCTCAGTTAAACAGCAGGAAACCACCTCTCCTCTTTGGCCCGGTGTCTTGTGGGATTTGCAGTTTATTCCTTCCAGCTCACCAAGCCAGCTCCTACATCTCCCACAATCCTTGCAGTCCACATTATGTGTGCCTTCCTATTGAGCACACTGGCTGTACACAGCTCTACAATAAGAATCCTCTACTGTACCATGCCTTGGATCTC